ATTTCCATGCACCTTCAGGGTAATTTTTCTGTAGTGGTATTTGATAGCGCTCAGTTCTGTACAATCTTTAACAGTGAAGCTAATGATAGTTTTGATTTAAATCTTTAAAAAATCTATTTGGCAAAGGTTGTTTTTTGGGGATGGGAACTCATCGTTTTCCTCTGACACGTTGGACATATTCTTCTCTTCTTAGGATGCAAACAGATGTCACATTTATCCTGGGACAAGCCATTTATCCCAGGACAAAGTGCAGTTTTACAGATGCCTCATCCATTGTCCTGGGATAAATTCTAAAAAATCTTCCTGGATAAGAGGTAATAACCATTTATCCCAGGTTCTTACAAAGTATGCCTGTACAGTTATTTTGGAATTGCATCATTGAATCAATAGCGAAAAAATGGCACTGTATTCAGGTGCTCACTAAAACCTGGTTAGAAGTGTGATGTGTGTACACACCAATCCCATTTTTGTTCTAGGACAAACACAGGCACAACTTATCCAGAGGTAAATGCAATGTCTGTTCCTAGCCTGAGTGAGCATGGCCAAAGTAAAAGGGGTGCAACTTTGTGGATAAGCACTTATCTTTCCCTGACTGACATTTTGCTCCAGTGCTTTGCTGGCTGAAATATAATCCATGTCTCGAAGCTCAGCTCATCACACAGTCACTTCATTTTGCAGGGGAAAAACACCAACAACTCCTTGTCCCAGAGAGCAGGCAGTACGTATTCCAGACCACTTAAGCAAAGGAGAGCAGGCAGGCATGCTTTAGCAGTCTGTTCTTAACAGACTTGTCCAGCTGATTCACAGATTGCAGTTTGCATTGTTGTCAGTCCCTTGGCCTTGAAGACCACAACTTGTACTCACCCTGCTATAATTTGTTCCTTTCAGAATGAAGGAATACTGATATTTCAGTGCCTTTGCTCATCACTGCCAGACCCCATTTATAATCACTTTGAAACCATTTGTGCCCAATTCTGATCTAATCAAACATTTTTAATATGAATAGCAGATTTGAAATCTCACCACATGGGAAGAATACTTAAGATATAGCCCAACGTGTTTGTTAGCTCCTAAATTTTCTTGTCAAATTTACTACATTGCATTAGACATTTTTAATTGACCAGAGGGGGCCCCAAAAGGAATACTATAAAAAGACATTCAGTCTTTGAACAAAACCACTATGACCCACACACTGATGCCATGGATAAGGGATTGAAATGGCACTTCCCATGAAGCACTTTCACAGAAGCAGCCTCTGTTTTGTGGGGGTTTTTGAGAAATTCAGAGTCACTGCCTGCATATGCTTTTAACAGTTTTCAATACTACTGTTGATTTTCCTTAGGCCTCAGAGTCCTTCATCATGCAGAACAGAAGAATGGGATGATCTGCAGGGCAAGGCACTGTCCAGTGCTCCAACAACACTTGTCTCGACCACCAAAGGTGATCTATAGAGAGCAAACTTTGTGGTTGCATATGTGGTCTAGGGTCCTTCAATCTGGCAGAGGTGTTGTTTTTATCTTACTCCTGTCCCTCATGTCCATGGGTTTCTCTCCTATTATACTCCTCATCACTATGTCCAGGCCAGGGAGAAAAGAGCTGAGAATCAATTGCTTGCAATGAAAGAGGAAGCTCATTTTATTCAATATGAAGCAGCATTGAAGTATTGTGACTAAATCTGCCCTTCCTCTGTTAAAAACTATTAGAATTCTGGATCCTACGGACCTCCCAGACCATGCTTGATGGTAGTTAAAGCAGAAAAACCTTTATTAGGGTGATAAAACAGTTCTATAGAGGACTAACAGTAGCTTGGAGCTCTGTGTCTACCTGACTTTATCAGCTACCAGTCCTCTTCAGGGGAGGGATATAATTACATCACATAGGTTGTGGGTTTAAATGATCCTGACTTCTCTGGGCTTCTCTATATTACAGAGGCAACATATTCCAGCTAGGACAGCAGCAAAAATTCCCTGCTCACCTGTGCCTGTAGTACACTCCAAACAAGTATACCTGTGAAGATGCTTGGAGGAGTACTTTATCTCCAGCATGCTTGAGAACAGGCACAGGGGAGAAGCCTTGCCAGCTTATTTCTTTGCCTATGGACGAGAGTGGGTGGAGCACTAAAGCAGCCCTCCCTTCCTTGGAAAAAGTTGTTTAAGAAGAGCTTGAACTAATGAGAGAGGCTTTGTTTTCTGATGGAGTGTCAAATGCTGATAACAGCATTAATGCTCTGTTACCAAGGCGGGGTGCGGGGGGCAGAACCCCTCCCTAATCAGAGCATCTTGTTGGGGCCTGGCCACAGCCCCCTCAGCTCAGCATTGTGGAAGGGAAGGGTGGGCCGCTCTAGTGCCCCACCCACTCTCTCGTAGCAGAACTTAGGGCTTCTGACCTTTTGGAAGGAAGCACAGGGAGCAGCTAGTATTAAGTAACTTCTGCATGGCTCCTCTCCCTTCCCAAAGTGCCCTTTTAACTTACAGATGAGGCTCCCAGTTTCTTCAATCCTGCTTAACAGCTGACCCTGTGCTCCACGGCAGAGTGATGTGGCAACAAGTTATGAAGTAGGAAAACAAAAGCCTGTCTGCTGAAAAACACTTTACTCCTGAGGAGGGTTTATACCAGGGGTGGGCAAAATACGAGCCGCGGGCTGGATTTGGCCCATGGAGGGACTTTGTCCAGCCATCGGCAGGTCCCTCAGTCCTGCCTGGCCCAGGCACCATCTCATTGTGGCACGTCCTGCCACCGCCTGGGCACACAGCAGGGCTGGGGTGGCTCCACAGCTGGACTGCCTTTCCAGGCAGCCCAGGCAACAGCAGCTCCTTTCTGGCGCTGCTGCCACTGTCCCCAGCCCCACAGTACCAGTGAGGACCTGCTTGTAGCCCCAACCCATCCCGTGCCTGTTGCGGACTTGCCTACTCACACTGAGCAGCTGCAGCAACAGCAGCACCAGCAGGGCAGAAGTGTGCTCAGCCTGGGGGAAGAGCTGCCCCTCCCCCTCCCCACTGCCCGGCACTTCCTGCAGTAGCCGTGTGGAACCTGTGCTGGGCTGCCCTGTGGCTCCACTCCTGTCACCACTGCCTCTGAGCTGCCCAGTGGGGCAGCACAGAGGAGCCACAGGGCAGCCCAGCACGGGCTCTGTACAGCTGCTGCAGGAAGCACTGGGCAGCAGTGAGCGGGAGGGGCTGCTTTTCCCCCATGCCAAGCACACTTCTATCCCACCACTGCTGGTGTTGCTGCAGCTGTTCAGCGTGAGCAAGCGAGTCTGCAGCAGGCATGTGGTGGATTGGGGCTGTATGCAGTTCCCCACCAGTACCACAGGGCTGGGGCTAGCAGCTGCTGCCACCTGGGCTGTCTAAATAGGCAGTCCAGCATGGAGCCACCCCAGCCCCCGCTGCATGACCCGGGGGTGGCAAGGCGCACCACGGGTGGGCAGTGGGGAGAAGGGGTAGGGGCCAGGTGAGGGCTGTGTGCACAGTCTGGCTGATCTACTCCTGCCAGGGTGAGTCTGGAGCCAGCACAGGGTGTGCTGGGGCTGCATGCTTTTGACAGTGACAGGAAGGTGCTGCAGGCTGCATGGGCTCTGGGGCTGTTGCTGGGTGGGTGCTGACTGGCTGCAATCATCTCTGTATACACAATGCAAACACACACAAATCAGGACAAAAATATCTTTTAAAAATAAAATTAAAATAATTTATTGTTGACATTTTATTTTTTGTATATAAATTGGGTTTTTTTCTGGTTCCAAGATGGCAAACCCCTTTCCCAAAAGGAGTACTTTTGGGGGCAAGGGGAGAGACTTCTGGTGGCAAAGGTCAGGGGTTAGGGGGCGGGACTTCCAGGCCCAAGATGGCAACCAGGGGGTAAGGTACCTGTCAAGGGGTGGGGTTACCCTTGCAGCCCTTGACAGCTTGCCAAAACTCATTAAGTGGCCCTCCAGCCAAATTAATTGCCCTCCCCTGCACTAGACTCTTAGGCTTTTGGACTTCCAGCTCTTTTCTGTAATCAGTCATTAAACAATGTTGTCTCCATAACTGGCCAGGAGGGTGGACTGAGTAGACATCCTATACAGCACATCAGCTGTTTACAGAGTTCTTTTACAGTACCTTGAAAATATACCCTGACTACAGAGAGATCATGTCATAGGATGAGAAAGTACTTTCATCTCTATTTCCTGGTCTCTTTGCTGAAACTCCCAACAAGGCTTATTTAAATCACCTGTGGTTCTAGACTTTGAGATATGGACATCTGTCCCCCGAAAGTCAGCCGAGACCCATGCAACTCATATAGTTTTAGCCACTGAGCAGCCATCAGATGGTAATTTTCAGATGGCTCACTACTAGCCTTTACCAGATTTGCACCAATAACTTTGAAGCACATGGCTTTGCCATCCTCTTTCCTGTCCCCTGAACTTTCCTGTTTCCTTACCAACAATGCAAGTCTGTTCTGAAATGAGAGAAAAAGAACAATTAACTTAGAAGCTAGAGACAGGAAACACAGTTCTTAGGGCTTTGCAAGTTTCAGTAAGGATTTGGTTTTGCAAGCTCAAAACCAGTTGAAATCTCATGCTGGGCCTATTATATATGAGGTGTCAAATTTCAGGCATATAAATGGTAAAGACACATATCGGGCCCACCCCTATGTTTAAAGAAAAAAATAACAGCCTAATTTGGAACATATTGGTGACTGAAATTAACAAGTACGTCAGCGTTGCTTCAATAAAGCTGTGATTACTGTAATTGGGACCAGAACTGCACTCGCACTGCAGACTGTACAGGAGTTTGTCTCCCAGGGAGGCTACCAGAGACTTCAGTGAAGAACCATAATGGTTCCTCTCCCCTAGTACATGCTGCCTTCTCCCAGATAAGATCTTCAGCTTCTCTTCCAGGAATCACAATGCATCAACTCATTTCAACAGCAAAGCTGGGGTTAAACTTCTTGAGTCCAACAAGCATAGATGGAACATAGAAGGGTGCACTTCAGCAGTCCATATGCCACGATTCAGTAGTGGCCATAAAAAAATGAGGAAATTGACAAAATTTGATTCATTCCATCAGCGGCAACCAGCTCTCATGGACTCTACCCCCAAACTGACAAAACCACCACAGCCCCCCCCATCAGTGAGTGTGGGCCTTATTTTCTATTGTCATTTCCCCTTTTCTTTTCCATTTCCCATTCCCATTCTCTCGCTCACTCTTGCTTTTGGTCTCATCTATTCTCTTAGACCTTTTTTTCTTTTACAATTTAATTTCTTCCTTTCAGTGCAAGGGCATTTTTCTCTTCTCCTACCCATGGCCCTACAAAGGTCTAACACCTCTCATTTCCTTTCTCTGGAGTTGCCTTTCAACCTGGAAGTAAGATATATCAGAAATGCTCGATTCACACAATCCCAAATCCACTACTACTCCTTTGGAGAGAGCAAAAGGATTTGCTGTCTCTGACCATAGTAGAGAGGACTGCTAGGCTCAATGGCCAAACTATAATTACTGTATATACTGGGGCAGACAATTATTAAGCGGAGGCCCACTTAACGAGTTTTGGTGAGCTGTCATGGGCTGCAAGGGTAGCCCCGCCCCTTGACAGGTGCCTCACCCCCAGTCAATATCTTGGGACCAGAAGTCTTGCCCCCTGGGGTTTGTGAGGAGCTATATGGGTTTGTGTGGATGTGGGTAGCAATGCCTCTGCTACTTGTCCCCTGGGAGTTCCCCGTGCTCTCCTGGGGTCAACCCGCCTCCCCCATGCACACTGTAAATTAGCAGTGCAGAGAACACCTGCATGTGTGGTGTGCAGTGCCTCAGACAGGTCTGCAGCGCTGCATTACACACATCTGTGATCGTCTGTATGCGCCTTAGGCTGGTATTCAAGTTGGGCTGGCACCTACAAAGGTAACATAGATTCTGTTAAAATAACTTGATGCCCTTCTCACCTTTGTTTTGATCTAGGACATGTCATTTTGGTGGTTTCACCTACTATTCCTCCTCATGCATACGCTGATGTGATTTCAACTTGCACTCAGAGAGGGTTTATTCTGCAGGGAATCAGGCAGCTGCGGCTTTCGCTTAAACAAGCCACTGTGCTTCGCATGACAACAAGTCAGGTATGGGACAAGGATTATCAGGACAATTCTTTTCAGATACTAAATATGTAAATTGAGCATTTCCAGTAGTTCTCCAGCTAAAACCTACAATCCTGATTTTTGTAAAGAATTTGAGCCTGATTTTGAGATATGGCTGTTCTGACCCCTGAAGATTGGGCTTTCAGCATAGCCAAAGCATGCTAATGTATATTTATTTGGGGCTGATGCAATGCAATTGTTATGATGTCAGATAACAGCATTTGCCTTACATCATGATGCTGCCACCTGGTAAAACAGGATCATTATGCAAATATCCCAAAGCCATCACTTTTTCATCCCAGAGGGCAGTGTTTTAAAAATCACAACCCTTAAGGCTTCATGTTACTAATGTGACGTTTCATCTTGGAGAGGGAACTTTTTCAACAGCTGATTCCTAATTTGGAATGACTGTATTGACAAACCCAGTTTAGAATTCAGTCCCAGGTGAAACTGAGACTTCTGAAAAGAGTACAAATATTCTGATTCATTGGCCTTGCCTTATTTTAAACTGATTATTTCAGTTACTCTTCTTCTGCGATCACAGAGATGGCAAGCTTTAACACTGAGGCTAAAGTTCTCAGCACAACATGTGCTCATAGAAAAGGATGGGAGAACACTGGGATTTCTGCACTGTGCCATTTTATTATTCCATCCGAAACCAAATGGGACAATGAATACCATGTGCTTGCTAATGGGAAGCTGTTTTCTACAATGATAAGTGTGCTTCAGACTGGAGCTGCAATGGTAACATTCAGTATCCTTGGGTGAATTCTGTGCTATTGTTTTCTCACCCCAAGAATGTGTGAGCTGACACCCATCCAGTAACTATTCTCAAGGAAACTCATTACCTCTTCACTAGCCAGCCAGCTCTCAGGTTCCCCTACATGCCTTTTTTATGAACAGTGCTACTGGTTGCTCTCAGAGATGATTTTTCCTTGTGCTTGAAAATCCCATTAACCCCCATTCTGTCCACCCCTTTCTGTCCCTGCCAGTGGAGAACGTCCTGCTCCCAGTGAAGTCAAATGTGAATGTTGCAATTGATTTCAGTGGGAGTAGGATCAGGCCATAATTTTGTGAAAACAAATATGATTTCTAATCAATTACAGTGTCATCAGGAGGGAATTCCTCATGACTAGAGGGGTGGCCATAAGTGACTACATAGCATTGCAGTTCCTCACAAATATTTCTTAAGTTAGTACCTTTATGCATACAAATGTTTCCTACAAGTATGTATTCATATTTATGGTCAGGACGTTCCCAGAAGTGTTCCAGCCAGCCTTTATTCTGATGCTGTTTATACCATTACATTGGTTGTATCTGAATTAGAATGCAGTAGATATTGTAACTGTTATTAGTACAGAATTTTTTTATCAAAACAAAGATATGCAAGAATGATCTTAATTCTACACACCTTACTCCAACAAAATGCCCAGAAAAGCAAATGAGACTTTTGTTTGCTAACAGAGACATCCTCTAGTAAGAGTTGGCATGTGCGCCCAAGGGAGGACATGAATTTCCAGAATGCTGTATTTTCTGTTTCACCAAGAAAATGCTGCACAAGGACCCTTTTTTCTACTTGATTTTCTTCAGGTCTCCCTCTGAATAACACTTTACAGAATAAATCCTTACAAACTAAAAGCTATAGCCCAAATGTCCAAATCTATGCTGAGCGTAGGTTCCTAAATCTACAATGGAGCACAAAAGGTCCGCTTTTCGGAGATGAGGATCACTGGCTACTTCCAGCACCTCAGCACCTCCGAAAACCAGTCCATGTGTATTGAGAAGATTAAATATTAATCTGTGCATTTATCTGGAGGCACTTCAGTTTGAGAATACTGACTTTATAATTTTAGATGGCTGTATTTTGCCCTAAAAAGACTTCAAGTCCACCTGATAGGAGTTCCTCAAGAGAAGAATTTCCATCTGAACCACGTTTGCACTGTCTGATTTTGCTGCTGAGAAAAGAGAATGTTGGCTATCATGTTCCTGCATTAATAAAAGGTAAAGCCATTATTTCTCAGGTCCTCAAAGAAAACGGTTAGTATTTGTGCATGCATCATTCTGTATTATTCTTTGAGTAACTGTCCACATATGCATTCAGACTAATGATTGTGTCTCATGCCCTGAGACTTTGCCTGGAGAATTTTACTTTAGCTGTACCTGGAGAGTGCACCGCGGTACATAGATTCCTTGTGGCTTCATGTTGAAGTGATAAAGGGTGTTGCATGCTTCTTGCTTTTCAGTTCCCCTCAACCACTTGGCTGAAATAGATCTCACTGCTCAGAATTTGCAGCCCTTGTATTTTCTTATTGATTATTGTACCCAATCTCTTCAACTATTGCCTTTGTTTGGCTTATGTTTTTTCTTTATCTGTTTTTGCTTCCCTTTGACCCTCCCATGGGAGAGGAATGACTGCTTAACCTTTAGGTTGAGGAGGTGTCTTGGTGCTCCTTTACCCCACTCTTTTGCCAGTGCTCCATTGTTGATGCCATGGGCAACCACCATCTTGACTCATTATCTTCAGTCCTCAGCATTTTTTTCTTTCTTTTGGTTGTTTGAGAATGACTGGGTTTTTGCCATGTCTACATCTCATTTGCTGGGGTTCAACAACTGTCCCTTTTGAAATAAGGCTATGTTGGCATCTGATGGACACTCTCAGTACCTCTTCTGCTGTAGTGAGGAATATGTACACAATAAATATTCCATCTGCTACTTTTATAAGATACAGACCCAAAGGGAGAAAGAAACTAGATTGAAATTATTAATCCTGGGGAAGTCCATGACTGTATCTTTGGACCCAGGTTCCACAAGACCAATTCCAGTGGTTGAGGCCTACCTTCCTCTCCACTGGTAGGCAGGAGGCGTAGTCCTCAGCAACAAAGAGCACTCTCTAAGGGAATTGCTCACTTGCCATATTCAGCAGGGTGATTCTCCAATTGCAAGTAGTGAATCCAGGAATGGGGCAAGGGGGTTGCAGCCCTCCCACACTTTGGCTATACTGTGCCTTGAGCTCTGAGCTCATTGCCTGGTCAGTGCAGACTCTTGCGAGCCCTGACCTCACTAGATGACTGGGGCAAGGTCTGACCAAATCCCCTGTTTTCACTTGGCACTGGAGCCCAGGGGATGAATGCTGCCCTTCCTTTCTTTCACTGTCTTTGCTGAATTAAGCAGCAGGAAAACTGAGAGGACAAGTGGTGGTGGCAATGTTTGCCCTCTGGGCTCTGAAGCCACATGGCAGCAAGGACTCCATGGAGACCCTGTGCCAAGAGCTCATATACAAGAAAGCCCAACAGAGGTTCAGTTGCACTACTGCACCCACTCTGGATGCACCCCAGCCAATTGCTGTTTGCATTAGAAACCAACTGCAGATACTCCCTCTGCCTGAAGAAGGGTGTTTGTACAGGAGGAGCAGGAAGTGAGCATCACTTTTTATCCCCTTGATGTTGGGCCATAAGAAGAGGTGGGGCCAGCTCAAACAGGGCAGTTATTTCTGGTCAAAGGCTCAAGGTGTGCAAGTGAACGATATACCTCATACATCTCCAGTTTTTCTTTTTGCTATGAAAAACTTTTCATAATGGTAGAGCCTGACTTTAGCCTTCACTAAGTGACACACGTCTCTATGTATATGCATGAATCAGCTACCATCATTTGGTACTCTGTTGCAGAATAATCAACCTAGGTTGTCATTTGTACTTGTTTCTGGCTTGAATTTGTCTGCCTTTACTTCTAGCTGTTGATTTTTTATCTTTCTCTACTAGGTTAAAGAGCTGTCTAGTACCTAGAATTTTCTCTCCTTGAAAGAACTTGTTTATTGTAAATGAGTCACTTCCAATTTTTTGATAAGCTAGATCAAGTGAGTTTAGTTCCTTATTGTAATAATAATTATTGTAATTCTCATTGTAAAACAATCATTGAAGCCTCCAAAATAATATTTGTGGCTATTTTCTGCAGCCTCTCCTATTTCTCAGTGCCCTTTTTAAAACACAGACACCAATACTGTGCGTAGTATTCTAGTATCAGTCTGGAAAATCTCTCAGTTCCACTCACTGCTCCTTTCTTTTTCCATACCAGAGTGGCATCACAACATGACAGTGTTCATATTAAGTTATTTATCCACTATGACCCCATAATCCATTTCAGAGTTGTGCTTTCATAACTGGTACTTTGTGTTCTTTCTCTTACTGGGAAGCCTTTGTGAAGTCATGAAGCTATATGACCTATAAAATCTCCAAGTGGTGTAAAATACAATAGACCATCTGCTTAGCAACTCAGATTTATATGAGCATATCACTCCGAATCTTTTCTCTGGCACATGAAGTACAATTCATGGACTTTATCCTGACATAAAGAGCAATCCAAGTGATTGGTCTTAACTGTGCAAGAGAGACATCTCCTTCCACAACCATGACATCCCACAGGTTCTTTCTCTCTTCCTTATCTGTGGAGAAATACGGACAGACTTCTGAGTATAGGAGCTAAAACTTGCACTTCATCTAAATCTAGATTCTTGTTCTTAAAGACATTAAACCAACAGATCTCACTTTGTTCATTACTAAGCGCAAAACTCATCTCTGTAGCTTTCCACTTCCTCATACACTTAAAATATGTGCACATTACAAACTGCAATGTTGTATCCCTCTAATAGCAAGCTACAAATGAGCTACCTCAGGTACTGGAAACAGTCTAGCAACAGCAGAACAGAGCTCAGCTCAGGTTACTTTACCCTGATGAGAAGCAAAACAAACATTTCCTCTCCCACCGTTCTCCCCTAGGGGAGAGGATGAAGAAATAAATGAGACTGATGTCACTCACATTGCTTAGTGCTCTCACAAGAAGTGCTTTATTGAATGATAACTACAGTATAAGAATCTATAGTGAAGAGAAGAGGTGGAGACATGCACTTAGATGAGGAAAGAAACAAAAAGGACTTGTGTCCCATGTCAGCGGACAGGAGAGAATCCTTGGTAAAAATGCTGAGTACTCAAAGCCAAAAATGCTGAGCACCGAAAGGTACACAAAGGTTCCTAGCAGGATTTATAAAAGCAACATAAGCAAGTTATTTTCCTAACCCCTATCTTTGATGCTTTTGAAAATCCTTTTCATTATCTATCTGTATCTCTAGGTGCTTAACATCCTTTAAAAATCTGTCCCTGAGCAGCAACTACATTGGAGCAATGGGAGCTGCTGCATTCCTAGAATCCAGAAAATTAGGGCACATATGTATGTGCCTAAATCAGGACTTTGAAGCTTAACTGTAGGCACATGAAAAAATCTTGGCTCTTAACATCTGGGTCTTGCTTCATGTGTATATGCAGCAGCAGGCAATTCTATGGGTAAGATACTCAGCTAATGTAAATCAGCATCGCTCCATTGTCTCCAGTGCAGCCGTGCTGGTTTACACCAGTGGAAGAGCAGATGCTTTATTTTTTTGATGTTGGTATTCATTATTTGTACAGTAAACAGGGTTGTTTTTGCTTGTCTCTGTTCTTATTCTGGTCTCTATTTGAAGGCAGGAATTTGGAAATCCAGGTCATTAGGTTTCCACATGACACCAGATATAATGTAACCCAGGGGTCAGGAACCCTTAGCATGCATGTCAGAGCCTGGCATGTGACGCCATTTTGCTCAGCATGCCATAGCCAGCCTGGACTCTGGGCAGCTGCCACCAGCTGTGTAGCCCAGGCTGCTTGGAGCAGGTGGCCAGGAGGCTGCAAACCCTGCTGTGAGTAGCCCAGGCTCCACAGCTGGAGGTACAGCCAGCCCAGAACCCGGGCTGGCTGCAGCTGGGAGGCTGGAAGCAGCTGCACCAGGCTCTGGAGCCGGGTTACCGGCTCTGAGCTGGCAGCAACTGCATGTGTGCCTCAGAGTGCAGGATAAGGAAGGGGCCAGGGCAGTGCAACCCCAGCCTCTGACCACTGTCTGCCCAGAGGTGAGCATGTATCTGCCACCAGCAACAAGGGTCAGGCCTCTCACAGCTCCCCCATGGTTGCCCCTGGCACACCAAGTTATGGAGTGTGTCAGGGGTGGTTTTGGCACTATGGCCAAAAAAGTTTCTGACCCCTAATGTAACCCTTTGCCCTTTTCTATCCTTGTCTAGATAAGGCTTTCAAAGTGCTTTACAAACAGTTAGGGCTCAGTTCGGTTTTGCTTTATGAGTAGGTTTCATATATTTCCAGCTCCAAAAAAGAGGACACCTGTTAGGGGGACACCTCACTCCCAACCCACAGCCCTCTGGCACTGCCAGTGCTTCTCACTCCTAACCTGCAGCTCCCTGTCCCTGCTGCTGCCCCTCACTCCCAGCCCACAAACCCCTGGCCCTGCTGGTGCCCATCACTTCTGACCCACAGTCCCTTGCCCCCCCCAGGCTATGATGGTAACCCTTAGTCCCAACCTGCAGCACCCTGTCCCTGTTACTGCCCCTCACTCCTGACGCACAGACCTCCGACCCTGCCAATGCTTCTCACTCCTCATCTGCAGTTCCCTGCCCCCTAACGCCATGCTGTTGCCCCTCATTCCTGACCTGCAGCCTGCCATCCCTGCCAGTGCCCCTTACTCCCAACCCGCAGCCCCTTGGCACTCCCAGTGCCCCACACTCCCAACCCACAAGCCCCCCTCCCCATGCCCTCACTCTCAAGCCACAGCTCCCCAGCCCTGCCAGTGCCCCTCATGCCTGATCTACAGCCCCCTGCTCTCCCTAGCCCTGCCAGAAGGTCTCCCAGCTGCCCCTCTCCTGACTGGGCTGGAGCGCAATGGCTCTGATTTGTGTGGGTAGCAATGGAGCAAGTCAGACCCCGGCACAAGTGGGAGGGAGGAGGAGAGGAGGCATGTGGCACCCCGCAGCCTGGGCTGGGACTCCTGCACTGCACTAGGCAACCTGGCATGGTACCCCCAGATAGCATCTCCTGGCTGCTCTGCCCCTGCAAACACGGGCACTGTCCCCTGTGCTGCTGGCCTGGCCACAGAGTTCCCCAAAGCCATCAAAGTCCCCTCTCTTCCCCCTG